AAGAAAAAAAAAAATAACCCCAAAACATACTTTAATAAAAATATATTGAGGGACCGAGTCGACTCAGCGGCAAGTGCAATTTCCTATCAAGGACCTAGTGCGGCTGAGGAAGAAGAAAGGAAACCGAGCGTAGCTGTCAGAAGAACTGGGATGGGATGTTTCTGTCCCTCTCTTAGTCTTAAATTGAAAAGAACAGAAGTAGGGGGAGGTCAAATTCCACGTTCTAGAGTTGGTTTTGCATTATCCATCATCATACAACAACATTAAAACAAACTTACGTGTTTTATCCTTTCACTAAGTCGTGTTTTGGACCTTTTTCTTTTTTTGTCCATTTTTTTAGGCTTCAAAGGACATAAAACAAACATTAGTACAGATTTTATCAAAATATTAAAATGGAAAAGGGCCTCCCCTCCCCACCACCCCCCCAAACCCATCCTCCCACATGTCACACCCTTCATCTAGCCCATGGCATATTTTTGGGTCCAACTCCGGGCAGTCGTCTCGTACTTGTTCCTGTCGGTCTTATACATGTGAGCAATCTCCGGCACCAAGGGATCATCAGGGTTAGGATCCGTCAACAATGAGCAGATTGATAGCAAAACCTAAAATATGAAAGGGAAAATTTTCATCATTTATCCATCAACGGCAAACCAGGAAGAAAAGAGAAAAACTCCCGTTATAAAAATATCAGAAATGCTAAACGTGTTTTGTCCCAAATTGATGAAGCCAGTTAAAGTGGATACAAAAGTCAAATAACTTTTAACTGACATGAACAGCTCACTTAAAAATATTTCTACCAAAAAATCATATCATAGCTAAAAACAGCATCAGTATGTGTCGTTATGGTGCACACACGCTAAAAAAATCATATTGTATTTTGCAAAATAATCTGGCAGTATATGTGTAACATTAAGCTAACTAACTGCTGCAACTCCTACATGCAATGGTCCCCATAAATGTTATAGCTAAACGAGGCCATAAGTATGGACCCGGTAAATATTAAAGCTAGGCACGTAAGTCTCAGTTCCAAAAGGGCAGACTGTAGTTAAGGAATACTTCAAGTGCTTGGACCATGCGAATTCTAACTACTGCTGGCTGGATCATTTGGTCCACCAAGCACACAGATAAAAGTGATAACAAACTAGCTACCATAACTCAGCAGGCTGTACTACTTGGTCACTCAAGGACAAAAAACCACCCACTATCATTTGCAGAAAGAGTCAATTGAGACAGCATATAATAACTAGTCTTAGGATAAGATTCCTCTACTCCCAGATTAAGGCTGTTAACAGTTAAAGAGAATGAACCTTGGAAATGGTCAGTGCAGGACTCCACTGTTCCTTCAAGATATCAAGACAAATGCTACCATTGCTGTTTATATTTGGATGGAATACCTTTGTTCTGAATGCTACCTGCAGGATCATTTCATGTAAAAAAAAAGTGAGGATGCTTAATTTTCTGCGTTGTAAATCATGCAAGTGTTAGAGTATTTGCAGAGAGTCATCCACATTATAGCTACATTTGGAACAAAACATAAACTTTTATGGAATATACTTGCAAATCCATACTTAACCTAACTAAAAGACAATGAAAATCTTTCCTCAATAACAAAAAGTGACCCCACATGGAATTCTGTGTAAAATTGGAAAAAATAAGTTGCAAATATAATATAATTAATCGGATTAGGAAAGGTATTGTTTCACTTCCAAATACAATTTCATATGGAATACTTTTTTGTCATTCTAATATAAGTTCACACACTGTCCCACTTAAAGTTCAGACTTGCAAATGAATTTCACAATACTTTTTTATTTATTCCAAACACGGGCTATATCTCTCAAGTTCAAAGGAAAACAGAAATAAGTTCTTTTGCAAGCACTAGGTACCAGAAAACAGCAAGTAGTTTCAAGATATTTAACAGAAGCACATTTTCTATTTTTCATTCAAGATTATTTAGCCTTGCCAAAAAAAGAGATACCAATTTTTCTCATCATTTTCCGCTGCAAAATTGTTAAAAACAACTTCTCTGCAAAAAGGACAGCATCGTCGTCTTGGATGGAAAAGATAGAATAAATCAGAAGCTTCACGCCTTCTGTAAGTCCTTTTAGCAGCGAAAATTCAGAAAAGCTCGGGAAAATTGACATCATGTAATATGATGAAATAAAAATTGTAGGCAACTGATAGAAGCTATACCCAGCCAGGTGCTTTTGATACCAAGTAAGGAAATTACATAATTATGAAAGCAGAAATATAGATAAAAGTGCTACCTTTTTCCAGTGAAAGCTAATGCCTTTCATTCAAGTGATAAGCAATTAGAACCAACAGAAAAGATATGAATCCATGAAACTCATACAATAAACATAAATCTATTAAGATGTACCTTGGGAGGCTTAAATGGATAATCCGGAGGAAAATGGATAGTGACTAGGAAAACACCTCCAGAATAAGGACTGTCTGGAGGACCCATTATGGTTGCCTGCCAATGGAACATGTCTTCTGCAACAGGACCTGTGATATTACACGAGTTTTAAAAAGAAAGGAATAACTACAACTATCAATGAAAACAAAAGATTTTCCATGACATTAAATTAACAAATTTACCAAAAAGATACATTCACAGGAGCAGCAAACATACTTGTTTATTTTTCTAACAGAAATAAACAAGAGAAGAAATAATAAACAAAAATAAATATAGAAAAGTTTGCATGGGAAAAGAGAAAAGATGATTTACTAAAATTTCTTACCCTTATAAAGCATTAACTGAAAGCCGTTTCAGGCAACTTTCTAATTACGTTCTCAAATGAGACAAAAACAGAAACATAGAATAAGTTCTAAAAACCTGGTCAGGTCGGCCAGCTGGACCCACAAACCATTTATGATTTAATCATTTGAACCAATTGAAAAATTAGATACAATTTCATACAAGCAAGAAAACAAAACAATACGTGCCAAGAGTAATCTTTGAACCAATTGACAAATCAGATTCAATTTCAACGCAAGCAAGAGAACATAAAAAATACGTGCCAAGAGTAATCTTTGACATAGAGCAGTTAAGCTTGCACTTTTATTGGGCAAAGATCCCATTTATTTTTTCCCAATTAACCAAATTCTGCATCATAGTGAACACGTACAGACCCAAATAAGGAATACAGTTTATTCATAATCACTTCTAAGCAAACTTCTTACCTTATAATCACTTATAACCACATAATTATAACAACAGCTAACAATTAGCACGAGCAAGCTTTGCATTCATCAAAAAGGAATGGTGCTCCACCGATGTAAACTTCTGATCATATGATCATCTTATCATAACTATAACAAACTAGCTGACAATCAGCCAGGCTTGAAGGAAAAGCAAGCATTCACCCAGAACTCTTACGCTCCACTGGGATCCAAATTAATATATCAGAATCAAGCAATGTGAAATATTTTCATCAATAGGAGATGAGATTTCCGAGGGTGAAGATTGTATTTCTCATCTGAATATGTAATTTTCTGCCATCCAGAAAACTTGAAGTACCAACTCGTTAAGTAATAATTCATGAGCTCCAGCAAAACAACCACTATCCACTTCCAAGTTCGTTTCTCAATATGACCCATTGTTGCACAAAGAACTAAAATTAGAATAATACCTAAGATATCTTTGTGCATGCGCCTCTCACTCCACCTCAAGGTGTAGGAGGAAAAATACTGGACAAACAATCTTTTTTCTTTCTGAAATAAACTGGAAAACAATCTTGCATCTTGAATTTCATTTGCAAACCTGACATATCAAGTATGCAGAAGAATATTTCAAAATCGCTATAAGCAAGTGGCGATGCACAATACAGCAGTTCTCCTAGAAGTAGAGGAAAATCTTTCCAGAATTAAAAACGAGCAGCCTAAACGGCAACTGCGCACATCTTACTCTTATCACGAGTTGTATCCTTCTCTGATAATCAAAGACAATCATTTAGAAGCCATTTAAGATCAAGTATAGACCACTAACTCTGTTAGAAAGACGAATAACTAAAAATCACCCCCTAATATCTTCTAAAAGTGCCACAGCCTAAGCGATCATCCGAAATTCGACAAGAAGTTGTCGAACAAATCTCAAAGAGAAACCACTCAACACGCACAGCTGTAGACGTAGTGTTCACATCGCAAGAATATTCATGTCGAAAATAGAAATGAAAAAGTAGGCGAAAAACACAAAACGAGTAGAGATCAGAATAGAAAGAGCCTTACATAAATCGAAAACGAGGAAAAGATAATCAAACAGAAAATCAGAAAGGAAAAGAAAAAAAAAACGGATAAGAATGCAATACCAGCGCTGCATGATGTAGGAGGATCCTTCTGCAAATCCTTCAATTCCTTCAAGATCCGTTTCGATGCCATCGTAAAACCTAAGATCCAAAGCACGAATATATCCTTTCATCAGATGAACGACCAAATGCTAACAGATACGGATATACCTAACCACAGATAAATATATAAACACGCAGAGAGACAGCCAAGGGAAGAAGATGACGATGAGATCGTACCTGAAACTAGAAGATCCTCCTTTCTGGTTTTTTTCTTAAATTTTATTCTCGTTATGCGCTAAGGGTGTATGTACGGGAGGAAGACGAGGAGGAGAAGGGAGAAACGAAAATGGAGGAGGAGGTGGAATTAGGCGAGGTGATGAGTTTTATAGATGGCCGTAGTGAACCGGCTTTTTTGGTGGATGGCTGTCCGATTGGATTAATTTTAATTTTAATTTTATTTTTCTGCGTGTGGGTCCCACTTCGCGTTTTATGTACGAAAGACACCAAAATTTTCGCCGAAAGGTGGCCGTCGCGAAATTAGTTGATGCACGAAATAATTGATGCGAGGAAATTCCGTACTGTTCACGTAACGACGTCGTATGCTTTTGTTGACGCGGATGGACCGGCAGGGCGTCGTCGCTCGAGCCTCCCGCGAGTCAAACTTGCTAGCTCGCGCAGACGCGTCGGTCGGTCAAAGTCATCTTTGAGTCCTTGACGAATCCGAAATATGTAAATTTTATTCTGACCAGGGTTATTATTGTAATGTTAACTTTTTATTTTTATCACTCTTTTTGTGGTTTTCGCATTAAGACAAGTAAGGAATGATAAATATAGTTATTCGGTGTTAATTTATAATATATTTATAATATTATAAAATTTATATTTATATTTTTTTAAATATAATACAAAAAAATTAACTATTTAATCACTATATTAATAATTATTTAATAATATTTACTAAAATTTTAGTAATGTTATATTCATAAAAATTCGTTCACTTCAAAAATAATTAATTAAAATGTACGTTAAATTGAATATTATGGTACTAACCTAATTGAAAATTTATTTGGTCATCTTAAAATTTAAACTCATTTGAAATAAAAAATATGTAATATCTGGATTCAGAATTTAGTCCGAAATTAATTTTAACATTCTAAATTGTATAAAAATTTATTTTTTAAATTAATAATTTTAATTTAATATAAAATTATAGAAAAAAAAATAGGTTATGCATGATATTGAAAATAATTTTAAAAAAAATTGATGAAAATTTAAGTTCGGGAGGTGTTTTTTTTTTTAAAAAAAAAATCAGAAACTGGGAGTCAGAATACAAATAATAACATTTTAGCTATGTAAAACCACACAATCAACAGTCTCGACGAATCGAAACGCGTTGCGTGGTAAGGCACGCTGACTCAGTGCCACGCGTGTAACGTCTTATTTTTTTTCTTTCAGCGGCGTAGTCTCAAATAGATTAGTATACAGAACACTCGTATCTCATTTCAAATCAATCACACACATAAAAAAAAATAGTGCAACCAATTGTTTAATTTCTAATAGAAATTCCCAACCGTAAACGGATAAATACAGTAGAGTATGAATTTCATAAATCCTTATTTTACATACGATTTACATTGCTAACAACTATGTAAGTATCTAATTCTACCAATAGTAAACCCTGCTTCGTTTTTTCTATATGGTAGGTTTAGAAACCGGCAACTCCGATCTTGAATCCAGTCCGACTTCATCTGTAAATAATAGAAAATGAGTACATATAAGTAAGTACAGTAAATTTAAACCACAAGTATAATGTAGAAACCCAATTAAAACCTAATTCTTATATGTTTTCCCTTCTAGTTAACTTGGTCATGCTTTCTTCCTACCTACCACCCCCATTACTACTCCTCTAACTCTACGGTACTACCACGTCTCCTTAGTAATCAATTATCAATAATACTAGGTGTGGTCACCCCCTAACATCACCCCCTCGACCCTGACTCGACCACTCACCCACACTGTTACCCTCATCCGTCACTAGTACCGGCAACAGTTTTTTACCTTTCCCCGACTCGACCCCTAACTGGCCACCCACACACACTATTACTAGTTTCTTTTGTCACCAACATCGGCGACTCAACACGTTACCAATCTGGAACCCCCCAAGCATCACCATTATCGGTGATCGACTTATCGTTTTTAAGTAACGACAACCAATATCGACGTCCCCAACTCAATCACTTTTAAGGAAACCTCACATCGTCCCTACTCAATATGCCCCGCATACTCACATACCTAACCCACACGCTGGGCATTCCAACATTAGTTATTACTAAACCATCAACAATGTCCTGTAATTCTCAAATTTACAAACATATTTACAGAATATACCCCCATATACCACCATACAACACACATCCACACACAACACATTTACACAAATACATAACTACACCAAATACTCACACACACAACCCTTACATATCCACGCTCATTGTTCCCTAACCTTCATAATACTCACACATGCAATTTGTAAATTTACAAACATATCTACAAAATATACACCAATACACACCCACACAACACACATCCACTCACAGTACATTTACACAAATACACATCTACACCAAATACTCACACACCCAACCCCTACATGCCTACACTCACTTCTCTTTAACCTTCATAATACTCACACACAACCCCTACATGCCTGCACTCATTGTTTCCAACCATTCCACTTTCTGTCCCTCTCTTCCCTTCTCTTTATTTTTTTCGGTTTCTAGCACTTTTATTCCTATGATTATCACTCTCTCACAGCCCTTCGCCTCTCCCTATATTTCTCTTTCAGCATTTCACCTCATATTTTCCCATACTCGTTCTACTTCCAATCGTTCCACTTTCAGTCCCTCTCTTTCTTCCTATTTATTTTTCTCGGCTTCCAGCACTCTTCTCCATACCATTATCAATCCCTCACAGCCCTTCGCTTCTCCCTCTCTCTCTCTCTTTTAGCATTTCACCTTCTGTTCTCCCGTGTTCGTTTTACTTCTCCAGACTCACTCCAACTCACCTTGCCTCCCCACGAACTCTCTTACACCTTTTTCATTCACCGTTCTCTTTCCTCTAACCGTAACCAAAACTTACCCTCACTCTTCTATTCCTCACTTCTTCTACTTCCTTTCCTAATTCCTTCCACTGTCTAGATAACACCTCACCGTACCTATTGATCTCTCCTCCAGCAGCTTCTTCCATTTCTCTTCACTCATAACTCCAACCAACAGTTCTGCCACTCACGGCCTATTTTCTAATTATTTTAAAATAATTAATTAAGATTTGAGGTCAAATTGAATATTACGATATTCAAAATGAGATTAACACAATTGAAATATTACTTGGTCATCTTAAAATTCTAACATAATTTGCGATAAAGAAAAGCATTTGACTTTTTGTTATGATATTTATTTTTATAATAAATTACTTCAATTAATGTGAATTTTAAAATAAATCACATCAAATATTTTATACGTCTCAATTAAAATTAATAACTAAAAAATTATAAAATAATAAAAAAGGATAAACTATTTATTTATTTTTTAAAAAATTATATAGTTTATTATATACGTAATTTTAACAATTCGAACATTGTTAAAAAAGATAGATATTATTATATACTTGCTACGAAAATATGTTATTTAAAAAATATATTTATTAAACTCTAAGAAAATATAATGTTTTATTTAATAAAAATTATTTTTTAAATTTATGTGTTTACGTATATTTTTATTTATTTAAATATATAAAATTTGTATATTTATAGTCTTATTGTTTTTATTTGCAAACTAGTTTTTATTATTTTACGAGAAAATATATATAAATTTAAAAAATAAAAATTTAAAACATTTTTAATTTATTAAACGGCTCTTAATATTTTTTATAAAACAATATGAGTGATGACTTTTATAACTCTAAATACAACAAACAGATACGTTTTAAATTTTATTAAATTTTTAAAAGTATATATATATTTATTATTATTATTATTATTAAAAAATGAAAAGAGGAGCCAGAATTGACAAAGACGAGCATAATTAAATTTGATTAAAATTTTAAATAAGTTGGACCATAAATTGTGAAAAAGGGAGATGTAAGGATACAATTATCGACGGCTAGGATCTTATGAATATTTTCGTAACGACCGCAGACAATAATAGCCCTGGAAACCCAATAATCATACGCGACAGTTTTCCTTTTCCGGTTTTCCCCAACAGAAACAACTCACTGTGTGGTGTTGACGGATTCCGGACCTGCCACCGGAATATGGAGCGATTCAGGACTCCACGGCGAGTCCAAATCGACGAAGCACAGGCGCTGAAGTACGATACCGCCGAACCGAACGATGGCGGACAGGAAGATCGAGAAGAGAACGGGATGCGACTGAGATCATCGGGGAGCAAGGTGACCGAAGATCAGGAGCCGTTCATGGGAGTCAAAGTCAGACGGAAAGCTTCTCGCCACCGTGACTATCGAGGGGACTATGTCGACGTGCCTTCGCGTCCCTACTTGATGAAGATTTTGGAAAAGCAAGGTTAATTTTAATCGAATATACTATATATTTTTCGCATTTTCTCGCTTTTGGTATCTTGATTCTGACTACTGGTTAGTCAAGCAGTTAAAATTGATTTCGATGGTTTTGTTTAGCATTTTATTGGAATTGACTTGCTTCCCCTTTCTCATTATGTGGTGATTTTTATGTATTGGGTTTGGTGTTAATTTTGAAATTAATTCCGTGTCAGGAGTGATTGAACTCTGTTAGTGACTTAAATTTTTATTGAGTTGAATGTTGATATGAAGAGTTTTTCTCTTTATAGTTATAGTTAACATAATAATCTTGGTGTAAGCTTGTATTTAATGCCATATAAGCAAATTAGATTAGCTTGATTCATTTCAAGAATCTTAGAGAACATTTAACAGTTTGATTCAATTTATTGAATCATTCATGGTTCCAAATGTTGAATCCTGGTAATGTTAGATGAATGTGGAGTTAATTTAAGAGAAAAAGCAGTTTTAATTGTTGTAATTTGAATGCTTCTCGAGTTATGAGGTGGAAGGTTCATCTTGTGTCTATTTGTTTGAGTACATTTGTTATCTAGTTTTAGTGCTAGGCCTGGTGTTTTGATCACTTGCCTAGTCCGGTTTACTAGAAGGATCCACTTGGTAGTTCTTGGCAATGTGTACTTATATAATGTCTCGTTGGCTAGAAGGATGTTATTGAAATGCCAGTCTTTGGTTGTATTTACATCTCAGTCAATTGCTTAAGGTTCAGTTTTCATTAGTGACTCTTTTGTTATTATATTTGATCTTTTATCTATGCAGGTGATAAGACAGTTCTTTTTGCTGATAAAGTTTTGAAGTTCACTGGTTCAGGGAAAATGAAACAGCGTATTCTTTTAATAACAGACTTTGCTATGTACATTGTTGACCCGGAGACTGATGCACTGAAACGCAGGATAGCGCTGGCAGCAGTAGAAAGGATGTGTTTAAGTGAATTAAGTGATAACTTTTTTGCAGTCATAATACCAACAGAGTATGATATACTGATGGCTAGTACTCGAAAAACTGAAATTGTCACTGTCTTGGTTGAAGCAACTAAGAGTGCAGCTGACTACGAACTTGAGGTGGATTTCTCTAATAGGTACTAAATTTATACTTGTTAATTGTTTATTGTGTTTATGTGTTCTGTACTTTTGCTTCTTGGCTTACAGTTGGCATTTTAATTTTCTGGGATTATTCTTTTCCAGTCTGATCAGTGAGATAGCACTGTTCATTTGATTTAAGCGGTTAATACTTGCTCCTGCCTATTGGAGTTCTCTTTTCCACTTTCCTCTTTCCTGATATTTAAACTGAAATTGGGTGGGAGCCATAGATGGAGAAAGGGAATGCCTTTTTGGCCTAAAGTTCTCTGATCTAACAACACTGTGTTGTATCGGGTTCACATGCGTTGTTGTCAGGAGGATACTTTCAATGTTCTCTGGTCTCACACCTGACAGACATTATGTTATACCTGGTTCAAACATGATTGTCAGAATAAACCTCGAGTTTGATATGTTTAGTTCATTGAATAATAATTATGACCTTAGTTTAACTGGTTTCTTACAAGTGTTATCACCATCGCATTCACACCTGTCAATAGCTTTCAGCTTTACTTGTTGAGTGTTTTTGTTATTTCTGATAGGCTGGCATATATCTTTTGCAGGTTTGAATATCATGCCACTGCTGAATTAGTGAAGGAAGTTGAATTTGAGGAAGTTGAAGGTGTGTGCTATTATTCCAAAAAGGTTTTGGCTCCAATGGTGTTCCCTCAATTGTTTCCACTTCTAATAGAGCCTGTTTGATGTGAATCTCAGGGGGCATTAAAACAAGAATTATGAGGAAGTAAATTGCAGTGTATACTTGTGGCACCAAGGGCTTTGCAGGTAGATCAGCATGCTTGTAAAGGTGAATGATTCTTTGCTTATTGCTTGCTGGATTCTGGTTTAGCTTTTGGCCGAACCTCATGCAAATCTGTAGTTATTGTTTCCTTCCATATGTTGTGTGTAATTTTTTTGTTCCAAAAGGAAAGAAACCATATCATTGTTCAAGTGTAAACCAATTTCATCTGGGATGTATGAAATTTGATTGCTTAGACTTTCAAATTGATATAGTAGTTTTTCTCCATGGTGGAAGATTTACTATGCACACCTCTCTTATCTTTTCAGTTTACCCGTTTGTATCCACATGCTACACTTTTGAGATAACAGATTCAAGCATTAAATCTGACTGCTATATTTCATCTATTACTTGTGAGAACTGTTTGAAAAGGGTGTAGATCGTACGCTTAAATTGGATTTGGTGTTACAGAAAGCTTATCTTGCAAAATCAATTATGAACTTGGATGTTTTAACCAATAAATTATGATTTTTGAAAAATGTTACTTTTCTAGAAAAGACTAACTTGCTAACATCTAACAACTGAAAGGACGGTGCCGCATAGCCTTGTACTTGTACACTATGTCTTGGAAATCATTAGAGATGAATCTAGGGATTTTATACCCAGTCATTTGGATGTCGTTTTGTTGGCTGAGATCAAAGAAACTCATAGTAGGATTGTTAAGAAAGAATTAGTGAAGACTTCAAACAAGGGTAGAACCTTTGCTGGAGTTGCATACCTGAGTACATTTATACATTAGTACGAGTTGAAGAGACTTACACTTAAAAAACTAGCTATTGAAGTAGTAGTGCCCAGATGCACATAACATAAGTTGAGATTTGAGGATTTAAACTCCTATAATCACACATCGAAATAACTTTTGATATGAGATTTAAGTTTCATATAATTTTGACAATCATGCAGACTGATTTTGTATTAGCACCTTTAACTAGTTCTTGATAAACACGGTCATTCCGAAGTCATCAACCTAGCCACATGATTGCAGCCACATGACTGCAATTTGAAAAAGATTGAATGATTCCTGCACCTAAGAAAAGCTAGAGAAGTCCAAAACCATATCCTCAGTCTTGTGCTTTGGAGGCAATCACATGAGATACGTCAACAAGATTTTGTTGCACCTGCAGTATAGGTGTTAAATCAGGTGGGCGAACCGTAAGTTATTTCCGGTAAACTTGGCCCTGCATGTTACCAGCTTGGGCGTGCTGGGATGAGGGTATCCGGGCCAACCAGGTGCCTAGTCTTAGTTCTGACCCGAATTCGTCTCCAGCCAATCAATAATTAAAAAATTAATTTTTATTAATGAAACAAAAATAGATAAAATCAATAAAATTATTAAAGCCATCAAATAATAAAGAAAATTTTAAAAATAAAAATATTAATAAAATTAATTAAAAATTCATGGCATACAGGCTGCCCAAGCCTGCATGTTAGGTCATGACATTAAAATTGGGATGATTTTGGGTAAGTCATAGATCACTTAATCGGATGCACATGGGCGGTAATTTCTTAGTACCTTTATGCATAATATTACTTCTCTTATATTTTAAAAAAAAAACCGATAGCTGCTGGGTAAAGCTGCTGGTTGGTGGGGGGAGTGTAGCTTTTAAGCTACTCTTGGAAGACAGCCTCTTTAGAAAGTTTTATCTTATCCCAACAAGAACACTTAGAGGTAGAATACATTCTTTCTTTGGGCTGAAAACAACACTGTCTACCATGAGATCATGGTCTATTTTAGGTCGATTAGCACCAAATCACAAAATCTATTTTTAATCAATTTAATATCACAATGTAGTGCCAAAAAATACTAAAAAAGAATGTAATTTAAATATTTTCATAACTTAAACAAAATTAAGAAACGAATTTATGACAAAAATTATAGTATAAGATTAAAATAATAATTAACTATTCCTATTTTTTTATTTTAGAAGCCAAGTTTCATACATCAGAAGCAAACATTTGGTATAAGGCAAGTAAAAAGGTTTGGTTTCGATGGTTTCGCTGTAATTATAAGATAATCATTTTATGTAAATAATAAAAATTTATAAAATAAATTACAGCAATGTAAAAACACCAAAAGAAAAAATTTCAACACTATAATTTATCCTAAATTATAAAGCAACCAACACTCTTAAATTTCACGTTCAAGTAATTATCCACTGATGATGAAAACAGTAGCTAAGGGCCCCAACTTGACCTTGAACTCAAGTGGGAGATCTAATTTTACAGCAAACTTTTCCCAGAAAATATTTGGTAGGTACCCAACTCATTATCCAAATCAACCTTTAGCCTCTCAAAAAAATTTTCACAAATCAAAATGATTGATAACTAGGAGGAGAGTATTGGGTTGGTTCAGTTAAATCAGTTACCAAACTGTAAAAACGGATGAGTTTTACTCATCCGAGTGCATTTCTTTTTTTCGTTTTAACCGACTAGTGTTCACCCAAAGACGAAATAGACTTATCGCATAGTAGAGGAGGATCTTATTTCTGTTGCTGCATGTGGTGTAGGAGTTGATATAGAAACTTCTGATTTAGTTTCAGGAGATGGTTGACTTCTTCTAATATCCTCCACCATTTTCACAACATCAAACATTTTAGGTCTTCTCTCTGGTATCTTCACCACACAACTCATTCCAATTTGTAACATCTCTACCATTTCTTCCTCTATGTTGGGATACCTCAAAAGTTCTACATCAAACACCTCTGCGGTCCACTCCTCCCTAACAACAGAATTCACCCACCTCACCAGGTGA